ATGCCCCGTCGTTGGGAATAAGGACTGTGACTGTTTGGGACTGCTCGAGCCTGCATAACGGTCCGTCTGCGAAGGAGCGCTTGCCACTTTATTGCTGATGGCCCTTGCGCTCCTCACTCGTTATTTGTAAAAGAGTGCAACCAAAACAAGATAACAAGCTTCTTTGTGATGAATGTTGGCTGCACTTCCCGTGGACCAACAATCCGCGTGGTGTGCGGGGATCTCTCCTTTTTATTGTTATTTTGCTTTTTTGTTGCTGTGGGCGCTGCACCTCCTCTTGTGTGTGTGCGTACCCTCCGTGAGGGGTGCCGACACGACGGACCGCTCTCGCCGTATGTGCATGCAGTGGAGCCTTGGATGCGTTGTTTTTTAATTTTTACTTTTTAATTTGTAGAACTTCTGTTTTGCAGGGCGGCGTTCGAGATTTGCAATTGTACTGATTCCTTCTGTCTCATTTTTGTCTGCGTTGCTTTTATTTTTTACTGTGCGTGACTCTCATTCCTGGATGGAACAGTGTGCGCGGCTGTGTGACTTGTCTCTCTCATTGCTTTTACTCTGCGTTGACGGGGAGTTAGTTTGTGCTGAAGGCTGCACGCAAGTGACAGGAGTGATGGCGATGATGATGACTGGCCGTGTGCTGCTGGTGTGTGCCCTCTGCGTGCTGTGGTCCGTTGTGGCCGATGGAGATGTTGGTGTGGTTTCTGGTGGGGACGACAACAGTCTGAAAGAATTATTTATTCCAGTTGCGAGATTGCAGGAAAGACCAGAACAAAGAGCAGCAGGAGCAACAGCTGACGCAAAGGCGGCGGCAGCAGCAAAAGCATCAGCAGAAGCGGCAAAAACAGCAACAGCAAACGCGGCAACAGCTGCAGCAAAAGCAAAAACAGAAGCAGCAGCAGCATCAAAAGCAGCAGCATCAGCAGAAAAGGCAGCAACAGCAGCAGCAAAAGCAGCAGCATCAGCAGAAAAGGCAGCAACAGCAACATCAAAAGCAAAAGCATCAGCAGAAACAGCCAAAGCAAAAGCAGCAGCAGCAGAAAAAGCAGCAGCAGGAAAAGAAGCAGAAGAAGCAGCAGAAAAAGCAACAGAAGAAGAAAAAGCAAAAGCATCAACAGCAGAAAAGGCAAAAGCAGCAGCAACGGAAGCAGACGCAAAAACAACAGCAGCAAAGACAGCAGAGGCAGCAGCAGAAGCACTGCGAGGTACAACAGTCCGAGAACAGGAGGTAAAAACAGCAATACATGATCAGGATAATTCAGTCGAACACCATTCTGGAGAAAAACAAGAGCTTCTAAAAGAAGAAGAACAGGAACGACAAGAAAAAGAACAGCATGAAAAGCAGCAACACCAACAGCGTGAACATTCCGCAGGAAATGGCGAAGAATCCCCGAAAGAAAAAACTGCCAATGGTACAAATGCAAGTGCAATTACGGACGACAGTGACGGCAGCACCGCGGCCTCCCACACCACCTCCCCTCTTTTGCTTCTTCTTCTTGTTGTTGCGTGTGCGGCTGCGGTGGTGGCCGCGTGAGAGTGAGGGAGAGAGAGCCGTGCACCGCCCGCACACACGCTCGTCTTTCACTCTCTGTGTGTGTGTGTCCCCTTGCATTGACTCTCGCCCTCACCTCACCCCACGAAGCACACACATAATGTGCCCATTTTATATATGAATCCACACCCATGCATGCCCGTTGGTGCCCTCTTTTGCACCACACGCACCGCTGCCGTCCTGCCTGGCTGCATGGGCGGAGCACCGTAACTACTTTGTTTTTATTTATTTGGTAAATGTTTTAGTTTAATTTTATTTTTTTTTTCTTTATTTTTTTCTTTTGTTTAAAAAATTTTTTTTTGCTTTTGGGGCAATCACTATGGACGTTTTTTTCTTTTCTACTCTTCCCTCTTTTAATTGTTTCTTCTGCACTCTTCCTGTGAGGGGTGCCGTGTGTTTCCCGCCCAACTGCTCCACTCGCACACCCACCGACACGCTCATGACGACGGCCCTGTGCGCCTCGCCTGCTGCACGCATGAGGAGGGGCCGCGACGAACGGCGCGCTGAGGGAGCCGTGACGTGTGGGCGTGCGACGAGGGCCTGTGGGGCGGAGCACACATTTCTTTCCCTCTTGTTTTGTTTTCTTTGCGGCCAGTGCGGGCAGACACCCGCAGCGCCACACACACAGCCACACCCTGCCGCCGTGTTTTTAAGATTTTTTGCTTTGCTTTGCGTGTGCATTTCTCGCGCCGGCAGTCCCTTCGGTGTCGGCCTCGTGAGCATTTCTCTCCCGTCTGATGATTTTTTTCTTTTGCTGCGCTCACTCTCCCGATGGAGTGACGCGACTGCCGTCGTGTCTGCGTGCTTCTCTCAGTCCCCATGCACACACACGAGTGACTGTGCTCTGCGGGCCGCACTCACGCGCCGATGAAAGGGCTGAGGGGAGCAGCAACACGCAGATGACCCCATGAAATATAAACGATGTGCGGACACACAGAGGGTCAGACGGTTGAAAGACATTTAAATATCTTTTTAATTTCATTTTGCGGGCAAAATATATGCAGACAGTTTGGTGCAGCCACACGGCAGCCGGCAGCTTTTTAAAATTTGTGTGGAACAGTAATGGGTGATTTCTCTCTTTTATTTATAATTATTTTGTGTGATGGGGTTTATATAAGACGAAGGGGACCTTTTTTTGTTTCGGATAAATTTTGTGTGAATTGCCGCTGCTTGGGCTGCGGTGCAGTTATGAGTTTGAGCGGCCTTCTTCTTGTTGCTTCCGCCATGCACCTCCGCTGTACATTTTTGTGCGTCTCTCCACATTTGTTGCTTTCTTTTCTTTTCCTTTTTTGCTTTGTGTTTCTGCAGGCACACACAACCACACAACCACAAGATGCACATTGCAGTGGATTTGAATGCTTCTTTTGTAGTGCATGCTGGCAGTTGCGTGTGGCGGCTGTTGTCTTCTTCTGTGGCCATGAGGAGAAGGGAGGGAGGGAGTGCGCAGCACGAGTCTTCTTTCCTGCGGGTGTGGTGCACCGCGTGTGACTGCGCTGAGTTTGGCTCCGTGTCCCATTGAGGGCGGGATGGCTGGAAATTTTGGTGCCGCGTTATGGATGGATGAGGGTTTGTTTGCTTCGTGTGGCTGGTGTGGTGGGTGCTCGCTCCGTGTGCGTTGTGTGGTGGGCGCGGGTTTTGGCCATTTCCCGTTGGC